CGCTAGCGAAAGACCTCTATTATAGATTTACAAATCACTGATGCTGAGATGCTTCAAGACCACGAAGCTATATCATAAAAAGATGTGGACGATTAAAAGAAAGGAAATTTCACAGAAGATGTGATTACAAGAAGCAAAGAAAGTAGGATTAGAAAACAAATGTAAATATTACTGAAAAAAAGGTTTGAAATCAGCGGCAAGTCTCGTGAAGAGCATTTTTGAGATTCCGGAAATCGAAAATCAAGGGAGGGAGGAAATCCTTCATGACTTTTCTAGAACAAGATACCATACTACGAGTTAAGCAAGGATAAAAATTTACTTACTTGCAGTTCCTGCAAGTTGCTTCAAAAACGTGTTGAAATTTTCCAAAGGCACTGCTCAGCTGGTGTAATGTTTGCGCAGTCCTGCAAAAAACCAATCAGATTTGACCAATAGTTCAAATGAACAAACTAACCAGCGGAACTCCTGCGTATTAATGGTTTGCATCAAGTGGAGATTTGCTTGGGTAGTGAGTTTTTGGTAAACGATATACTGGGATGGTTTAGTTAGATCAACCTGAAAATGATAACGCACAACATTTGTTTCGAAGAAATCTGTTAGAGTACTGAATAACCAAAAGTTCCCAGAAAAGAAAAAACTCAAATGGTTGGCAGCAAAACAGTCGCGACAATCAAGATGAATGTCTAACAGGTGCAGAGCTTAGTGTGTGAAAAGAAGCGCCAAAATAGTTACGTTTTGACTTAAGTCATATAACACGAGATGTTATGAAATTACGTTCGATCAACACGTTCCCACCCTTTTTTCGCCAAGATCTGTGTAAAACGACCACTCCTCATGAGGAGCAACAAACAGCATTTGTTCGATGACGCCAGCGTTTTCAACCATCAACATCTTTTGGGTGAACACAATCTGCTTCTCGAACAAAACACCAAATCTTAGCTGAATACAGGAGGACTTCAGAAAAGAACGGAATATCGTAATAGTCGGCTTACCTCAACAATGCTTCCAACAGCTGTTCGTTCAAGGAAAGTCGGAAATATACCCGTTTTGTTCTTTAGTAACTCTTTTTGAAACTGCAAATAATAAGCATAAAAGAGTTTCTCATTCAATATAAAAAACTTACCTGAGCAAAAGCAGTTTCAAATTGTGCATGAGGCGACATGCCAGTTGCCCAATGCGAGCAGGATAGTGGCCGAGGAACAATGCAAGATGGGCGACGACGTTGCAGCCGAAGAAATTCACCCAAGTACATGTACGTTTGCTGCAAACTTAGAAATTAAATAGGATCTCATATTTATAAACTAGAGCCCACAAAATTCCCTTCATTCCAGTTTTCGCAATCAATCATGGATTCCACAGTTTCCATAATTTGTACATCCATTTGCTCCTCCTAAAAATTGCATGACGACTAGAAAAATGACTAGTATCAAATAAGAGAAGTAAGCTAATAAACGATAAAGTCGCTCAAAACGTACTTGGAAAACGGCTCGTAGCCGGTTCAGTGGTTCAATTTGAGGTAACTGATTTGGCAGCCCCTTCGCGTAACTTTCAAGATTACTGCAATTTTTCAAACACATGAGGTTCAGCAGGATATGCAGCACAAAAGTTCAACATCTTACTCGAAGCAATCTCGAAACTCCTTATCGACTCTATCAATTCTTCGAAAGTAAGCATGCCAAGTCTCTCTTGTAGGTGGCGGTGAGTGAAAAAGAAGGTTGTGCAAACGCGTAACGCGATTTCTCAGTTGCCGCAGAAGAACAAGACCTATGTTTGACATCGTTGCGTACAAAAATAACTTTAGTAAGACTTACAATTATTACTACGTTGCAATACTCCTTCGTATTGCTGCGACGCTTGCGCACTGCTACTACCCATACCTATTGATACCTGAAAATGTTTAACGATGCTTCGTTGAGCATGACTTAGCATTTCGACGGAGGGCAAGTAGATGCAGCTTTCATAACAAAGCGCAACATATCTTGTTACTAGGAAACCTCATCCTGTGACGAATTAATTCTGGCTACTATTCTTTTAAATCCACTTGACACTTGCTAGCAGATTTTTTATTGATAAGAAAGCCATTTGCTGACATTGCAGTATCATTTTTTTAGCAAAATTCATTGCCAGAAGTTAAAAAGGTTACATTGCCAATGCGATACACAAGTAACCATGGAAGTCTAAGATCCGACACAAACCGCCACCCATCTCACAAAGCTCATAGTTTATTCAAGAGAAATTATAGAAGACATATAAGAGCAACAGTATGCATGGAGACTGAAGATTTTGTTCCTACAGTTAAAACCATGATATAATTTATTCTCACTATAACAACAAACAACTTATAAACAAATAATAATATTATTAATTCAGCTAACGCAACCGTATCACACAAGTACGGCCGTAACGATCACAATAAGTTGCATCCTTGGCATTTTTGTTTTAACGAAACTCATCATCACGATACCTCCCTACGAGGAATTAACAACCTGCCTAGAAGAACCATAAATCACACCATCAACCTTGACACCACCCAAAATCAAGAAACTAGTAACGAGAGCGGAAAATAAAGATGACACAATCGCAAATCGATGAAGGAGCAAATTTCTTTTGTAAGCGATACGTATATATGTTCGTTTATTAACATTTTGATAGAGCTTGTCCCATAACTAACCCAACACCCAAGAAATCCTGCGACTATCCAGACACAAAGTCCACATAGAAGGATGGAAGAGCGATTCGCGAGCGATTCTTCACCCATTTCCTGTGGTGATTTTAGCAAACGCGGGGGTGAGTTAGAGTCCAAATGAACTTCACTGAGCAGGTGAAACCTCTACCCCATGCACAGTT